CTCTCTCTCTCTCTCTGAACTCTGCTTCCATCCTTACAACTCCTTCTCTCACCCTGATCCTCCTTCCTCTCTCTCATAAGCACCCTTGTGATGAAAGGGGGCCCACCCAGACAATCCAAGATAATCTCCCCCATCTCAAGAACCTTAACTTAATCACATTTCCAAAAGTCCCCTTGGCCATGTAAATTAATATAATAACAGGTTCATGGGAGGAGGACATGGATATTTTGTTCTTTGGCCTACCACACTCAGATTGACTCATTTTACCCTTGCAGCTGCCTTATGAGAGAGAGACCACTATACCCACCCCCTCCTCCATTTTACAGGTGAGAAAACTGAGGCTCTAAAAGGTTATCAATTTATCCAAGATAGTGCTCCCTGGAAAAGTAGAGGCTCTCCCTTTCTCTGGCCTTGAACCTAGAGGAACAAGAGCCTGGATCCAATTGCACCTGAAGGAATGTGCCTTCAATTTTTCATTTTAGGAGCTAACCAATTTCCTTTTCTGGATCAGGTTAATGAAACTTGCAACCTGTTACTTGCAACCAAGAGAGTTTAGGAGAATATGGGAGTTCCCTGAGAAAGAGGACACAGGGAACCCACTTCCCCCATGAGGCAAGGATCACCCATGACCATAATACCCAGTTACCTAACCTACTGGTCAGAGTCTGATCCTTAAAAAAACTAAGTCTCATATCCATTCGTTTATTCATGCCACAAATAAATTTTGAATACCTGCTGTGTGTCAGGCAGTGTTCTAGGTCAGGGGTTGGCCAGTTTTTCCTGTTAAGTGTCAGATAATAAATATTTTTGACTTTGCACACCCTGCCAGCCCTGCTGCAACCATTTAACTCTGTAGCTGTAGAGTAGAAACAGCCATGAGTAATACAGAAATGAATGGGCATGGCCGTGTCCCAGTAAAACTTTATTTATAAAAACAGACTGCAAGTTGGCTTTGCCCACAGGCTGTAAACTTGCTGACATTGTTCTAGGTGATAAAAGTGCATCTAGGTATAAAAGTGAACAAGTCATCCAAGGTCCCTGCCCTCATGGAGTTTCCACTCTGGGGAGAGGAACAGACAATGAGCAAATAAATAACTGTGTGAATAACGCCAAGAGATTTTAAGGACCATGAAGTAGAAGGAAACTGGATGAGGAGGGGATATATAGATGGTTGGGGCAGGCTGGGCAGGGCATCCTTCGAGCAGAGGCCTGAAGGAGGAGAGGGCATGGGTCGAGTCAGCAGCCGCAGGAAGAGCAAACCAGGCAGAGGGAACAAAGTGCAAATACCCCAAAATGAGACCATACTGTTTGAGGAACAGCAAGGAGGCTGTGGCTAGAGCAGAGTGCAGGAGAGGACAGAGGTCGGGTGTGAGGACAAAGCAAACCAGGGCCACAGGAAGGGCTTGGGGCTTCAGCTGTGGTGGAGGAGACCTGAGGGTTTGGGGCAGAAGAATGACAGGGTCTGGCATATGCTTTGAAACAGCTCTGGCTGCCAGGTCCAGAATGGACTGAGGTTGCAAGGGCAGAAGCCGGGAGGCCAGTGAGGAAAGTGCCGCAATGATCAGCTAAGAGATGAGGGGACCCCGTACCAGGGGCAGCAGTGGAGAGGGTGGGAGCTGGTCTGATTCAGGATAGATGTTGAAGGTCGAGCTGACATGATTGTCTGACAGGGGCCACCCTGACCCAGGGTGGCTTTCCATCAACTTCTCCAGCAGCCCCCACCCACCTCCAAAGCAGTGGAAACAGCTGTCAGGTCTTCTTTTTTTTTTTTTAAGGACTTAAAAAAACAGCCAACAATCTATTAACTCATCAATACCGAGCCCCGCCGATCTGTCCATCACCTGGGCTCCCGTCGATAACTCCATCTCAGGACTGACAAGGCGGAAGGGAAGAAGGGAAAATGAAATATTTATTATTTCTTAAAGGACAAAGCCCTTCCCCAAGGTGATGGTCTCAGGTTCAACCCCATTAAGGTTCCCACCACAGAATAGTCTCCCTGACTTCTGCTGCCATTTCGGTAGGAGAGCAACACCCACCAGAAGAGAATATCCTCAGAGATATCTAGAAGCAAAGTTCTTTCATTTTGGATCCAGATTTGGGGATCAGACTCAGAGATTTCTATCACCTGCTACTTGTGTGACCAAGGGAAAATTGCTGAACTTCTCTGGCCTCAGTTTCCCATCTGTAAAATGGGGATAACAATAGTACCTACCTCACGAGGTTCTTTCGAAGATCATTTGGCATAGTCTGTAACACATGGAAGAAGTCACTGTAACAGATATTTCCTGGGTGCCTCTTTGATCTGAATCTCAAAAGGTAAATAGGATGCAGCTATGGGAACTGCATATCAGGTAAGAGGAACAGCCCGGGCAAAGGCCCTGGGGGTGCGAAGGAGTCCAGTTTTGAGGAGCTGTGCAGAACCTTGTGGGCAGAATCAGACAGATGTAGATAAATAAATTCCTCCCCTAGCACTAGGGACTGTAAGATTAGGTACCCCAGGATATAGAAATCAAAAATAGGACTTCTCTAATTTCAGATGAGGAAAGACAGAATCTGGGCCTGGTTGCTCTGCCAAGAAGCGAAGGCACCTGTAGCTATACAGGGAGTTTATAAGTAGGCAGATTGGTTTCTTCTTAACTTCAGGTGTTGAAATTAAGTTTGTAATTCTCAATTCATAGGGCATATAATCAACATTTATTTAGGCAAAGCTCCCCTTTTGCTTTGTATTTTATTATGATTTTCCCCTTTGTTCCTCTATTAGTCAGCTACTATTGCAATTAAACTGCATAACAAACAACCTCATAACCCCAGAGGCTCATGACATTTTTTTTTTTTTTGGTATTTGAAAAAAATTTTTTCACACGTGTCAGTCTGCAGGTTGCTGTGGTTTGGCTGATCCAGGCTGAGCTCAGTCAAGTCGGCTCTAGGCTTCCTGAAGGGTGCAGGTCTGCTCCATGGAGCCCAGACTGCTAGGGCAGCAGCTGCCTATGGCGTGAGCTTGTTGAGTAAATCATAAAGGTGCAGAGAGGAGAAACCCCATAAGCACATTTAAAGCTTTTGCTTGTGTCACATCTTTTAACATTCCATTGGTCAAGTCACAAGGCTAAGTTCAAAGCCAAGAGCTGGGGAAGTTCATTCCACCACACTGAAGACATGGCAGAGGTAGAGAAGTATAATTCTATAACAGCAGGGAGTGAAGAACTGATAACCATAATCCAATCGACCACAATCCCCATTCACAATTTCCTTTTCCTCCCCACTAGAAGTGCCTACTCTGGTGTATGTCAGACAAATAGACACATATACATACAGACACAAAGAGAGAGAGAGAGAGAGACACACATATCATTAAAAAGGTTAAGTATTATTTTTATTTCATATTTTATTATTTACAATAAACTATTTTAAAATAGGCTTTACTGAGGCTCATTTTCATTCAATAAAAAGGTACCTGTTTTAAGTGTCTAGTTTGATAAATTTTGACAAAAGTGTACATTCCCATCACTTCCACAATCAAGACATAAAACATTTCCATCACCCTAGAGAAAGTCCCCTGTACCTCTTTGGAGTCAACTCCACCACCCCTGCTCCCATCTTCCCACCCCTATAGATTAGTTTCACCTGTTCTCAACTTTGTTGCAAATGGAGCCCTACCATGGGCAGTGTTTTGCATCTGTCCTTTTCCGCTTAGCATGATGCTTCTGAGATTCATCCGTGATGTGGCCTGAATCAGATCCACTCCTTTTTCATGCTGAGTAGGACTGCCCTGTACAGAGGTGCCACTGTTTATTATTCCAGTCAACTGCTGAGGGACTACATTACTGTTTGTAATTTACATAAGTGACACTGTTTTACACATCTTACTCTGTTTCTTACTTTTTCACATAAAATGTATTTACGGCCGTCGTGTTGCTACACGTAGCTCTGGTTTGCTCTTCTGGCTGCTGCATGGCCACCCAGAACGTCCTCTTCCTCATTTCTTTATCCATTCACCTAATGAAGGATGGTCAGTTTGCCTCTGTTTGGCAACACTAACAGTGCTGCAGTGATCAGCATGTTTCCTTTCATATCTGTGTGAAAGGTGTTCTGGGACTCATACCCAAAAATTGGATTTCAGGGGCATGATGTATGCACATATTTAACATCAGAAGATACTGACATGCTGCTGCTCCTCACCATCACGCCCCAGGGCTTTCCTTTCCCACATGCTCTCCAGCTCTCAGTGTCCCCAACATTCCGTTTTTTACCAATTAGGTAGAAAGACACTTTGCTTCATTTAGGTTTCAGTGTGTGTTTCTCAGATTACTAGTAATTTTTTTTCTAGTAATCTTATCCAAGCTTGCTCTTGAGGTTGCAAGTTGGGCAGCTTTCCTTTTCTTCTTTTTCCTTCTTTTCTGCAACAACTTATAGAATGTAAGAATGATCTGCTCCTTGCTATTTATAGCACTCACCCAGAAGACCATCAGGACATGGTCCTTTTTCTCTTATGGAAGGTGAGGCATTGACACCCTTGATCCCATATTTTGCTTTCCTGGGGAAGACTTGATGCTACCTGTCAGATATGCATGGGCCAAAGAAGATACTGCTGTAACTGGGTGGCTGGGGAAGGGATAAGGGAAGGGAGAAGTCAGGAATAGTGGCATTCACTGAGCTGGGGATCCAGAGATGTGGCAGGAGTATGCAATATAGAAAGCAGGTTTAGCTCAGATTAAGAGCAACAAGGGAGAGAGATATGGGATGAGACTCTGAGGCTGTATGCTCTATGCTGCATGCCTACATGTGAGCGCACATGTGTGTGTACCTAGTGACTCTTGGTATACCTGGTCATACATTGCGAATATGTCTGTGCATATTACACCAATGTTTACTTGCACAGATGCATGTATGTTCCATGTGTACACATATGCAATACTACCCTTCATTTTTACCACAGCCTATTTGTACAAACTCTGTGTGTGTGCATGTGTGCACATGTGCATTAAGGCTTTACTGAGGCTCATTTTCATTCAATAAAAAGGTACCTGTTTTAAGTGTCTAGTTTGATAAATTTTGACAAAAGTGTACATTCCCATCACTTCCACAATCAAGACATAAAACATTTCCATCACCCTAGAGAAAGTCCCCTGTACCTCTTTGGAGTCAACTCCACCACCCCTGCTCCCATCTTCCCACCCCTATAGATTAGTTTCACCTGTTCTCAACTTTGTTGCAAATGGAGCCCTACCATGGGCAGTGTTTTGCATCTGTCCTTTTCCGCTTAGCATGATGCTTCTGAGATTCATCCGTGATGTGGCCTGAATCAGATCCACTCCTTTTTCATGCTGAGTAGGACTGCCCTGTACAGAGGTGCCACTGTTTATTATTCCAGTCAACTGCTGAGGGACTACATTACTGTTTGTAATTTACATAAGTGACACTGTTTTACACATCTTACTCTGTTTCTTACTTTTTCACATAAAATGTATTTACGGCCGTCGTGTTGCTACACGTAGCTCTGGTTTGCTCTTCTGGCTGCTGCATGGCCACCCAGAACGTCCTCTTCCTCATTTCTTTATCCATTCACCTAATGAAGGATGGTCAGTTTGCCTCTGTTTGGCAACACTAACAGTGCTGCAGTGATCAGCATGTTTCCTTTCATATCTGTGTGAAAGGTGTTCTGGGACTCATACCCAAAAATTGGATTTCAGGGGCATGATGTATGCACATATTTAACATCAGAAGATACTGACATGCTGCTGCTCCTCACCATCACGCCCCAGGGCTTTCCTTTCCCACATGCTCTCCAGCTCTCAGTGTCCCCAACATTCCGTTTTTTACCAATTAGGTAGAAAGACACTTTGCTTCATTTAGGTTTCAGTGTGTGTTTCTCAGATTACTAGTAATTTTTTTTCTAGTAATCTTATCCAAGCTTGCTCTCGAGGTTGCAAGTTGGGCAGCTTTCCTTTTCTTCTTTTTCCTTCTTTTCTGCAACAACTTACAGAATGTACGAATGATCTGCTCCTTGCTATTTATAGCACTCACCCAGAAGACCATCAGGACATGGTCCTTTTTCTCTTATGGAAGGTGAGGCATTGACACCCTTGATCCCATATTTTGCTTTCCTGGGGAAGACTTGATGCTACCTGTCAGATATGCATGGGCCAAAGAAGATACTGCTGTAACTGGGTGGCTGGGGAAGGGATAAGGGAAGGGAGAAGTCAGGAATAGTGGCATTCACTGAGCTGGGGATCCAGAGATGTGGCAGGAGTATGCAATATAGAAAGCAGGTTTAGCTCAGATTAAGAGCAACAAGGGAGAGAGATATGGGATGAGACTCTGAGGCTGTATGCTCTATGCTGCATGCCTACATGTGAGCGCACATGTGTGTGTACCTAGTGACTCTTGGTATACCTGGTCATACACTGCGAATATGTCTGTGCATATTACACCAATGTTTACTTGCACAGATGTATGTATGTTCCATGTGTACACATATGCAATACTACCCTTCATTTTTACCACAGCCTATTTGTACAAACTCTGTGTGTGTGCATGTGTGCACATGTGCATTTTACAGTTGATTGTTATCTGAATATCACACTACATTTAATTTAATGCATTTATATCTATTGTGTTCTTGGTAAAGACCACACACAGAATAGCAGAGCGTGTGTGTGTGGTGTGTGTGGGTGTGTGATGGGGAGGTATCACATACAGCATGTGTCATTACATAAACTCAGGATCTCATTATGTGGGTTTATTTGTTAAACAAAACCCATGCATCAATTGTGTTTGTGTACACACACAAGCGTGTGTGTGTAATAGGGTGTTACCCTGTATCTATTTCTACAGATCACACACTACATTTGCATGTTAGTGTCTGTCTATTGCACCCACATGGGCTCCTCTGCCCCCTCCCCAAGCCTGTTTGTAAAGACACCCAGCGCAGTGTGGATGTGTGTGTGAATGTGTGTGTTTGCCTTTTATTTTGCTCACTGTTCTGTGACAGCAGAATGCTTCCCCCCCGCTTACCTCCTCTTCCACATTGCAATCCTTCGGGGGATATCAAGGGCAAGCCAGAGAAGGGTTACCTGGAGAAAAGGGTTGCTAAGCAACCAAACACCCACCACCCCCAAGCACCACCAACCCAAAACTCCGTTCCAGGCCTGCAACCAGATTAGCATATTAATGAGGCTGTAATTTCCCCCGAATTGTCTGCTCGTACACACTCAACTCACAGCACACTGGCCCAGGAGTTTGCTATGCAAATAAACTGGTTTTACAGACTGCGACTTAATTAACTCATCAAGTTCATCCTCCTAACAGAAAAGGCAGACGAACTACAGATTAATGAACCTGTGTTTGCTCGCCCCTCTCTCTCTCCCCTGCCACAGCAAGCCGTCTTTCTCTCTTTATGGCCCGTTTCTCTTCCTTCTCCCATGAGCCTGGTAGCTCCCGAAACCCACCTGGGATTCTTCTCCACGTTACTCTGGATTTTCGCCATCCAAGCCTGGTGCTTTCTCATCCCTTGTACGTGTGTGTGATGTTGGCGGGGCGGGGGACAGGATGCTGCCTACCTGGAGGCCCCCGTCCCCTCACCCAGCTCCAGGGATCTAAGCAGCGCAGGAGGTGATGCGGAGGCAGACGGCCAGAAATGAGGATACTGTTCCTTTAACGAGAGGAAAGCACAGGCTTTATTTTTGACACACGATTCATAGTTTAGTATGAGCCCTGATATTCAATCAGCTGAATACGGAGTCTGGAAGAAGAGGCATTCTCCCTGCCTGCGTGTTAATTAGAAACACCAGTCCTGGCTGCCGCCCACACTAATCAACTTTCTCCACGTTTTGATGGAAGACACACACCCAGGAGGGGTCTCTGAAACTCTTGGAGGAGAAGTTGGAAATGTCCTGGGTGCAGGAAGCCCCTTAGAAGGGAGTGGCTTTGAATACTGAACCGTTTCTCCTTAAATCTTCACTGAGGTCTGAGGGTAGCGTCACCTCCTCCAGGAAGCCTTTTCTGGTTGATAAAATTCAATGAATGGATCCAAACCTAGAAGATAGTCCTATGTTGGAAGATCAAGACATTTGACCCCAGTGTCTGACCTCCATACAAGACAGGACCTTCCACAACTTCTCCAGTGCCACAGTTGTACTGCTTAATGACTTTCTGCCCCCTCCCCCAGCTTCCCTGCCCAAGTACAGGCCTCCTCACATGAATTACTACCTGCTGTCTGATTTCCTTCCAACCAGCCTTCACTGCGCCACCAAACAAGCAAACCAGGGTCAGGGCCCTTCCCTGCTCAGACACCATGGATGGCTCCCCATGGCCCTCAGGACAAAGTCCAAATGTAGCCTAACATTCAAGGCCATCCGTGATCTGGCACTACCTTAACCTCCCCCAGTTTCTCCCAGCACCTCAAATGTAAAGAATATAAGAATCACCTGAAGCCTTTGTTACAAGTTAGACTCCTGCCTGCCTCTGAAGATTCTGTTTCTATAGGTCTGGAGTGTCCCTGGAGTTGGCATCTTTAGCCTGCATCCCAGGTAACAGGTGCGAATGGTATTCGGCCACTCTGTGGGACTGGTCCCTTCGCTCATCGTTCTGTGAGCTCAGATACCTGCCTTCCACCTCTGCCTGATTAGACCCACCTGAACGAAGCCCATGCTCAGGACTGGCCCTCCTTCTCCAAGGGTCACCTTGACTTCTCCCACCTGGTGATCCTCCCCAGCATCCCCTGTCAGGGAGGCTGCTTGGACAATAGCAAGTGGGGGCTCTTCCCATGGACGCCCCAGCCCCATAGGTCCACTCACCCCTCCTGCCTGTAGCAGTGAGCGCCTGTGCAGTCCTTGAGGCAGTTGTGTGTAACTTCATATGCTGGTTCAAGGGGCGTTGGATATTCTTTTTCACTGTTCTTCAAATCCAGGCTTGAAAATTAGGGGAAAAAATTAATTCTCCCAAATAGTTGCTTACTGTCAATTAGTAAAGATCTTGAGTGTAAATAAAATGACAATTCCAGAGTCCAAGTTCCTGGGTTTGACCACCTTCCCTATCTCACCATCTGTTTGCTGTGTGACCTAGGGCAAGTGGCTTCCCCTCTCTGTGCCTCAGCTTCCTCATAAGCAAAGTGAGAATAATGACAGTATTATAGAGGTGGGAATGATATTTTAAAACATCCACAGAAAGTACTTGAGACACCCAGAGAGTGGTCAGTTACTGTCAGTCTATTACCGTGGTTAACTACATACTGTTTACCTGCTGGTTGAAATCCAAGGGGCGCTGAGAAAGTTCTGCTGACCAGGTGTTTTGGATTTGGTTTTACTCACAGTTTACTCCTCCTTGCACCAAATACAGTGCCTTGGCACATAGTAGGTGCTCAACCAGTGACTGTTTAATTAAAATGGAAACTGAACAGTTCTGGGATGCAGAAAAGATTCCTTTATGCATCCAGGCAGCTCTTACACTCACACATGCATAAAGACACACACACAAAAAACACATTCAGACAGACACAAAGACAAACACATAGGGACACAATTAGACACACACACACATAGATAGACATGCTTAGACATACACAAATATAGACAGGCACACACACAAAGAAGAAAGACACACGGATACACACAGGCACACAGATTGACACATACAGACATGCTCTCCCATGCGCACACACAATGCTGGTCTGTTTTGTTCTCTCGCACCAGAACCAGAGGCAGTGGCCATGGCAGCAGCTGCCTCCGCCTCTATCACAAGCATGCATTTATTTGAAGAGTGTCAGGAGGTCATTCCTCAGCTAAATAGTGTCAATCCCATCCTCTCTGTCTCCTCCTAGGACCTATTCCACGATCCATTCATTCATCATGTTCGTATCTCCAGCCGCAGGGCCTCACATGGGTGTCCCGGGAGCCCCTCCCACACAGCGGGGCAGCCACAGCCGGTCTGGGAGGCTGGCCTCCATATCCCTTCCCCTGCTCAGTGATTACTGCCCCCAGCTTACAGATGAGAAGGCAGAGGCTCCGAGAGGAGAGCAGCTTTTGCTCATTCATTCATGCAAGATGAGGTTGACCCATTTGGAACTGCCATTTTTGAAAGGTTAAGAACAGTCAAATACTAACAAATTCAAATGGTTCACCAAAATATTTAACGAGTAGTGGTCCCTTATAATGATATGAGATAGGCCTGCAGATACTCAGGTGGACAGCCTGGATTTTATTCACATGTGATGGGCACCACCATCACCATGAACTTATATCATGTTTCCAAGGTATAGGCTCAAAAGAATTCAAAACAGGGACTCAGATGGATACTTGAATGTAAATGCTCACAACAGCTGTATTCACAATAGCTCAAAGGTGAAAACACCCAAGTGTCCGTAAACAAATGGATAAACAGATGTGGCCCATCCATGCCATGGAATAATATTCAGCCATAAAAAGAATGACATTTTGGCACATTCTACAACAGGGATGAACCTCAAAAACATCATGCTAAGTGAAAGAAGTCAGACACAAAAAGACAAATGCTGTACGATCTGCTTAAAGTGAAACCCCTAGAATGGTCAAACCCATAGAGACAGAAAACAGAATAGAGGTTGCCAGGAGCTGCGGGGAGGGGGCCATGGGGAGTTACTGCCTTAGGGGAAGAACTCTTTCCAATGATGAGGAAGTTTAGGAACCAGGGGATGCTGATGGTTGCACAACATTGTGAATGCACCAAACAACACTGAATTGTACAATGAAAAATGGTTAGATGGTAAGTTTCTTGTTAGATTTATTTTACCACAGAGAGAGAAAGAAGGAAAGGAAGAAAAAGAAATAAACAAGAGAGAAAGGGAGAGAGGAAGGATGGAAGAATGGAAGAGAAAAAGAGAGAGGAAGGAAGGAAGGAAGGAAGGGAGGGAGGGAGGCAGGGAGGAAGATCTTCCGGATGGAGAATGGAAGGAACAAGAATGGCAGCAGGAAGGCCACAGTGAAGTCCACTGCCTTTGTCCAAGCAAGAGACCATAGTGACCAGGACACTTTACCTGAGGTGTCCCAGTGATGATGTCAGAACTGGGGTTCAACCTCAGGACTTTGGCCCCCATACCCTTCCCTGTGGCAGAAACATCCGGCTATGGGGGTGTCACCAGCAGCCTGGTGCCTGAGAGCATGGGTTTCAGGTCTGAGAACTTGTGTTCAGATTCCAGGTTGGCCCCTCCGAGCTGTGTGACCTTGAGTTGGTGACCTCATCTCTGTGGGCCTCAGTTTCCTCATCTACTGCCTGGGAATTATGACAACACCTACTCCAGGGGTTGTTAGAAGATTCGTTGGCATAAGGTAAATTAAGGGCTTGTCCCAGAGCTGGTCACAGAAAATCCTCCAGAAAGACTGCTTAGCTGCGTCATTGCTTGAGGCTATGAATTCCCACCTGGGTTCTCTCCTTTCTCCTCCCTTTTGCTCCCCATTCCTTTTTCCCTCACATTTCCTCCTTTCTTCTTCTTTTCCCATTTCCTCCTCCTTTTCTTCCAGGATGGGTTTCATGGAAATGCAAACGGTGAGGTCCCAGGGGCTCCCCACTCAATTTAATGCAGCATCTTGACATTCTTAGTAACTGTTGCATGAGGGGCCCCTCATTTTCATTTTGCACCAGCTGGTCCTGCCATTCCCTTATCTAGACTCTTAATCACAAAGAGAACCTCTTTGCCCATTTCCGGTTTATAAAAAAATATATCTAGAACTCCCAGCCAGAAGGAGCTGTACCTGCTAGGCCAGGACAAGGCCTGTTCCTTTCTAATCTTGTGATCCATCCCCTATTTAAAACTGTCGTCCTAGGAGAATAACAAAGGCGGAGGGGGGGATGCTAGGACAGCACAGGAAATACTCAGGTTCTCTCTAGCTTTCTCCCCTCCTCATTCCAGAGACAGAGGGCTGCCGTGGGGACTGAGGTAGCCAGGAAGAGAGACCGCTGGCAGGAGGCGGGCCTCAGAGGTTCCCTTGTCTGGAGAGTCTCTAAGCTGGCTGCATATCAGAATCACCAGGGAAACGAATTGGAAAAGTAGATTCTCTGGCCCCACCACCACCCAGGGTTTCTTATGGCTCCACTTCAGGTGGATAAAATTCAGACTCTCCGCAGGACCCCCTCTTTCCCACCTCAAAGTCCTACACATGCCCCTCATGCCAATGCCCCACCTCCACACGTCTGCACTTCACATTTATTCTGTCAGGAATGCTCCCTCCCCAGATCTTCCCATGGCTGGCTTTGGTCTCAGCTTACATGTCACCTCCATAGGCCTCAGTCTAAAGCAGAGCCCCAGCCCCTGTTGATGTCCATCAATTACCTGAGTTGGTTAACTTTGGAGCCCGGATCACAACACAAAGATACCTTATTTATATCTTATTGTCTGTCACCCCAATGAAAATGTGAGCTACATGAGAGCCAGGACTTTGTCTGTCTCATCACTACAGAGGCCTCGCTGCCTAGCCCAGTGCCTGGCACATAGCAGATGCCCAATAAACATCAGCTGTATACATGAATGAATGAATCTGGGTTTTCAGTAAGTGCTTTGGTGATTTGCGGGCATCTGGGAACCAGTGGTCCTGTAGGTCACTGTTGGAATGTCCTCTACATCCCTTAGCCTTTTCTTTTATCCCCCCATGGCAGAAGGCTCATCCCCTTTTGCAACAGCCCAAACAGTGACAAGACTGGCCTTCTCTGGATGCTAAATCTGCCTGCTCATAACTTCTACCCACTGGTCCTTATTCAGCCCTCACGGCTGCTCTGAACAGACCTAATTCCTCTATCAAACAACAGCCCTTTACAAACCTTCAGGTCTTCAGGCCACACTTCCCCAGGCCTTCCAGCAAATCTCATTTCTAAGCTCCACTTCTCCTAAGGGAAGACCAGGATTTACTTGAAGTAAGCCTGGTCTGGAATCAGACACCTCCCATTTGTTTTTCTTTGTCATCTGGCTTGATCTCCAAAATGTTCCACCATGAACTTAGATTCCTTCTACAATCAGTTAAACAGAGAAAAGTGTTTAAGAAGCAATGCTATTCAAAGCCACAGCCCTGGGAGCTCTCCCTCCTTCCACACCACACCAACCACACCTCAGAAATAAAACAGGTTTCCTTATGGTCCCAAAAGATACTGAGTAATGAGGAGGGAAAGTCACAGAAAATGCAGAGATGGAAGAACCCATCTTCAAGGTCCTTAGAGTCTGGTTCCAAAGAAGAAAAGAAAAGCTATGAGATCCTCGAAGATCTTTGCATCCACAACAAATTACACTCAAGACCTGACACATCTTTATCTCCTAAAGGTCCTAAAACATCCTGGTTTATGAGGTCCACTCAGGTGAGACTGGCTTTATGCAAACCGCAGACCAGCTCAAACAATCGAACAACATGGTTCTATGAAAGATGGCATGAGACACTATTGCTTTCAGTTCAGGAATTTTCTGCACTAAGTCCCAGCTGAGTTGTTGGGAAAAGCATGCTGGATCAAAATAGAACAGGGTAAAAATTCAAAAATCTCTTTCTGATCATTTGGACATTGTTGGTGCCGATGTGACCAGGACCTCAGTTCCCAGAAACCCTGAGGACCCAGTTCCTCTGAGGAAAGGCCTTGGAGTGAGTTGGGTTTGGCAATCACACAAAGATCCTCCTAGGAGGCCACGAGGCTCTGGTGCCACCAAAGGAAGCTCTCAGGCTGCCGATGGGAGAGGCCCCTGGAAAATAACCCATCCCCACCCCAGGCCATTTTCTGATGCTTTTTACCAAGCCTTCAAGAAGTGAGCATTAGCTTTGGTTGCTATACCCAGAGAAGCAACTGGAACCGTGGCTTGTCAGGCAGTAGTGTTCAGTCACTCAACAGGAGCTGTGGCTCCAGGGAGGGAGTCAGAGGCATAGCTGCTCAACCTTGCTCTGACCTCCCATCAGGGATCCCCATT